AAACTGATTAACTAACCCACATATGCCATGTGTTTCATTAATTCCCAAACAGACATGTTAAAATTACAATCTGTGGTTTTACAGGGAATTCTGTGGTTGAACAATTTATTGGCGACGAGCAGATGAGCGTAGTGACAGGCAACAAGCAGACACTCCAGGGAGTCGTCACGCCTGGCTAACTTATAGTTTAGCACTAAACCCCCGTAAAACCCAGGCGGCAACCTCCGGTTCGGCCGAGTGAAACCAATGAGGAAGTGTCTTAAAACCTGCATTCTCTCTTCTGACCAGCAGGGGGCGACTCCTCTGGTTGCAAAAAGAAGTCTGATTGTGTGGAAGTCTGTGAGAAGATGACTCTACTTCTCACTTGATTTATTACCACAGTAAACATTGTAAACATGAGTTTATGGTCTCTTTTGTTGCAAGTCTTCAATACAGCATGATGTTCATTTAGTAAATTATGGTCCATTTAGAGTCAAATAGACCATAAAGAGAACTATGCTTTAGGGCGGGCTTACTGTGATTTACAGGTTGCTACCGCTACCAGAGCCGTTTACGGCATCTCTACGCCGCTTCTCTGCATTCCAAATATGGTAACTTCCGTTCATCGTTTGCAAAAAGTCAAGATGGCAATGGCCAAATCGTCAAATTGAATGCTTCATAACGGCAGTCCACAAACCAATAGGTGATGTCACAATGACTACGTCCACTTGTCTATGGTGAAACCACAACTTGCTTTTTTTACACTATTTACTTTACTAATTTACTACTATTTACTACTTTACTCCAAGCTAGCTCTTTCTTTCTTTTTCTAGTCTTTACGCAAAGCTAAACTAAGCTAAGCATCTCTTAGCTGCTTTGTTTCTAACGTACAGATATGAGAATGTGTCTATCTTCATATCTAACTTCTAGCAAAAAATGAAATTAATTTATTTCCCAAAAGGCCATACTATTACTTTAAAGCTGTCATACATTACGCTACCAAAACAGTTTTCCTAGTATGCAATGGTCCCGTCTTATTTTAATCAGCAAGAGAAAGAAAAACGCTCACAGATTGAAATTAAAACATTGTTAGATTTATTGGCACAACTCAGGGATGTGCAACATGCTTTTTAAACCTTTTTAAAAATCAATATGTCAAAAACAATGTCCATAAATGCTTTGTAGTTGCTTTTGGAAGCGCAGTTTTCCAGACTGGTATCCATTCAGTTGTGCAGTCTTATCCTCAGAGTGTTCCCGATCACATGCTGCTCAGCTATGAATGCTGCCACCGTCCAGGGCAGAGCGTACTCCAGAGTTACCAGTCCTCCCAGGTTGTAGCTGTAACCTGAGTAGTCCCAGGGACAGGCCCCCAGCAAACTCAGCCCCGCCCCCCAGCTGAACTCCCACAGGTAGATGAACATGGTGTAGGCCGCCAGACGCGCTGGTAGTGGTAGACGGCGAGCCAGCAGCCGGGCTCTCAGGACCTCAATGAGGTAGATGGCGATGGCGTACATGGGCAGCGCCCACAGGCTGCTGTGGCCCGCCAGCCTACTGTCCTGGGTGCTGCACCAGTCACACACGGCAGTGAAGGCCACCTCACAGAGGCAGCCATGCAGTGCATACACGTAGAGACGAGCTGCGGTAGTGAGAGGACGACTTGGTGCTGCTGGGGCTCCGTCATCAGCGCCAGTCCCTGTCACAAAGAAGCTGTTATTTACAGACGTTTTTGCCTGTTTTTTGTAAGATTTCCAAAATGTGGGAAAAAACAAACATGTGATGGTACACTAACAAGATTTTAACGTTAGCAAAGATTCTCTATGTTTTGAAATGTTATAAAGTGAAAGAATCAATCTACAGGGTGAAAAAATAAAAAGTGCTTTGAGCCAGGCATAGATCCATTGATTGTCTGGCAACCTCACAGATAGTACAAGACTTTAAAAAGTTCCCGCCCCAAATATTGTGTTTGACACACAAAACCCATAAACCAACAAATTGCCATTTTTATTTTACAGTTTTTGTTCTTGAGATATGTTAATAAGTGAGGGAAAACTTCACCATCAAAATGACCATTTGTATATCAAATATGCACCCCGCGTTACCTTGAGTTCCTGAAGAAAACTTTGTAGCTCCGCATCGTCTCACGCTTGCACAGACGCGCTACTCGTCCATGCTTTCTTTTTTTTAGTAAAGATGGATGTGTCTGGGGAGTAGTGAGCATGGTTATGCACAAAGTGAGACTTGGATTATACTCCACGAGTTGTGTGAGTTTATAAACAGGTTTTGATATAGTATTGGCGTTCAGAATTTTTCTCTATTTTAGTTTTCTCCGTTCACTGAGGAGGCATGGCGGGACATTTTTTTTTCTTCACTGCGTGAGTAATTGGTAAACAAATGATCATTTCGAGGGTGGAGAATTAAAAGACCTTTAAAAGACCTGAGAGGCCGTTAACTTTGGACGGAGCCAGTCAGCGTCAATTGTTATGTTAAGCTATAAGCCAATCTTCTCATCTCCCTCTTTGCGAGAAAACGAATAAGCGAATGTCCCAAAATGTTGAACTACCCCTTTAAGTTAACTAAATTTCTTAAGTTAAAATACTAAAATAAAAGTTAAATGACTACACAGGATATGCTAAATTGTTTCAGTGACAGGTGTCGCAGATACATGTTGAAAATATGAATCTAATAATTTATGTTTCTCAGCTGATCATAATTCAAACCATGGCCATACTTTACTGTTGTGCCACATTAGGGATGTAATGACATCGATTTAGATTTACGCTGTGGCTGCGTGAATTGTGTCTTTAGAGCGGTACAATAGGCGCACAAAATGTGTATGATGTGTCAGGGAGACCGCGAAGGGTTATCAGTGACCCGCAGCAGCTGGGTGTGTTGGGAGAGCTGCCAAGAACACACACTTATTGATAGATGATAGAGCTGACTGTAAAACTGCAATTAGACTATTCTATAACAGTCTTTTTTTTTTTTTTTTTTTAATGTTGGTTCCCAACCTACAAGCAGTTGTGATAAATATTTGTTTATAACATTTCAGATCTACCTGGATTGTTTAACATGTTTAAAATGTAAAATGTTCTGTCTCTCAAATCTCTTTTGATAATCAAAGCAAGCTGATTTAAAGAATTTTAAGGTTATTTACAAATTTACAATTTAGATTTACATTAATGACAGATTTACAGTAGTTCTTGGATGTTCTTGGACCCTGTATTTAAAATAAACTGTCAGTTATTTTTGGGAGTGATAGCAGCTTGACATGACACGCTTTGAATTTTATTGGCTTGTTTGCATTGGGATTATGAGTCGGTGCTCCCACTTTTGATTTTCGACGATGCCGTTGAAGCATGGTGATCAAAACTGGTGCCTAAGAAAACCATAGCGTAAGTTTACTAATCACTGCAGCAATTACAATGAGATGTATTTTCTTATAGAAATGTTAATCACAGAATTCTCCAGTCCAAACAATTCATCTTTAATGTCTCTTTTGATTGCTTTTAAATGGGTGGAACCATAGCTCTTATATAACTCTCTTGATAGAGAAAACACAGTATTCCCTTGATCTCAATTTAAAAAAAAAGAGGATACAATAAAATGTTATTACAAAACAATTTAATGGAAGTACAATTTACTTCTCTTTTTTTAATCTAAATTTTCTTCCCCACACTAAAATACCGGCTCTCCAGTGCGCACATACAGTCCTGTTCTGTCGCATAGTGTACATGCTCTACTTTGGATTAACAGCCTTAGAGCCCAGTTTAGCCCAGTGAAAGGCTTGGAGAATCTTCAACAGGTTTTCACTCTGCGCTATACAACAAAAGTGCCATTCACCATGAACAAATCAACTAGGTGACTAAAAAAAAAGTCAGCAATGGTCTCATAATAGCATTGAATCAAAACTCCATCACTTGGTAGACTTCAACTGAGATTAGGATGCAATGCCAACAGACGCCATACTGTGCCTCAAAGTGTGGCCTTCCACAATTGCTTAACATCATAAATTAAACACGGTAATAATTCTCACCTTGGTCATTACCACCTCGAGTTCCTCTCGCATTTAGCTTTCTCGCCTCCATCCCCGGGCAGCATATGGGTCCTTGTGCCTTTATAATCCCTCTGCTTCCCTGTGTGTGTGTGTGTGTGTGTGTGTGTGTGTGGATCTTGGGCTAACCATTAAGCGGCTCTGTGTTATCGCAGCGATGCCTCTGTCACAGGCTGAGGTCCAAGTGATGGACCCCGGAAGCTAAAGCCTGAACCCACCTGAGGAACAAAAAACGTCTGTGTGCAGTATTGATCTGGCACCGGGACGCTGTGGCTGCGTGAATTGTGTCTTTAGAGCGGTACAATAGGGGCACAAAATGTGTATGATGTGTCAGTGAGACTGCGAAGGGTTATCAGTGACCCGCAGCAGCTGGGTGTGTTGGGAAAGCTGCCAAGAACACACACTTATTGATAGATGATAGAGCTGACTGTAAAACTGCAATTAGACTATTCTATAACAGTCTTTTTTTTTTTTTTTTTTTTAATGTTGGTTCCCAACCTACAAGCAGTTGTAAAATGTAAAATGTTCTGTCTCTCAAATCTCTTTTGATAATCAAAACAAGCTGATTTAAAGAATTTTAAGGTTATTTACAAATTTACCAAAAAACAACAACAACATATAAGTGAGTGATATGTTCAAGTTGCAAAGTTATTGCAGGTCTGCATGTTGAGATACTGTGTGCCTTTGTACAGGTAGAGCCTTCATTTCAATGCATTTCTCATATGAAATGTCAGGTTTTGTGTGATTTAATGGCTAGATAAGGTATTAGTCGTTGGTATTGGTAATTAGTCGTTATAAATATTGTTTGTACATTTCGCTTATTTTAACTTTAAGCAGTTTAACAGTCGAACTCCCAGTAAGGAGATTTACCTTATAAAGATTGTTATTTGTCATTCATCTGCAATTAAAGAAATAATTAACTTGGAATTTACTCACTAAGCAGTAAAGCTGCCAGCACACATATAAACACACACTGTATAAATATAGACGCCGAGCTCTACCGTACAGTTTCACACATGCACAGCGTACGTTGTAACCATAAAGTGTCTCTGTGAGCAGATGTCAGTCCTGACATGGTGCCACTGCTGAGTCCCGTGTGTTTGTTCTGTGTGTACTCTAATAAAACAGTTCGATGAATGGCGGACCTTTAGATCAGAGTCCAGTGATTCTAGCAAACACACCTTCAGGGCTGGGAAGGGGGACTGCACCGCTGGATGGGAGTCAATGACCATAAAGTTATGGCGCAGACAAAGGTCGGACTCTTCGCACAGCGGCGAGCCGGGCTCACTCTGTGTGTGTGTGTTGCATTGTTTGATGCTGAATTGTCACCAAAGAATATTTGGTTAGGGAAATCAACGTCATAACAGCACAGAGAGCCTTCACTTGTTGCTCTTTTCGAATCTCTCATCATCATTGTTGAGTCGGTCTGGTGTGGTAAATTGAACGCACATGAATTAGAATGAATTGAAATGAACAAAGATGAGATGAGATGAGAAAAAACAGGGTGTGATGGGATACGATGCGATCCTAGACAATGAGGGATGATGAGATGTGAGAAGCTGAGATGCTGTGATGAGATTTGAGAATATAAGAGACGAGACGATGTGATGAGATGGGAGAAATTATGAAATTTGAGAAAAGGAGATGATGTGATGAGTTATGAGAAGATGAGATGACATAATGAGATTACACAATATCATTTCTGATGGAGCCCTGGCAAAGACAGCAGCAATATAGTATTTAAATCTTTTGACACCGCGCTAAATTTGTCACTGTTTTAACTTTTGTGCAGTATGATAGTGAATACTTTAAGCTGATGTCTAATGTGTCTTTGACATTCTTCTGCAAGACATGTTTTACTTTGAAAATATTAAGGGCTGTGAGTGTTTCCGTTTCCGCAAGATATCATTGATCAATCCTTCTCTCTGAAGACTTGCTTTACACTCAACGCCAACCACAGACATGTCATGTTATGTATGTTTATGAGCAGGACTACCACAATAGGGAAGACGCTGGAAGGAAAAACTGCCGTATATACTGCCGTTTTATTTCGCCATAAATTTAAATGATGTACTATTATGGCAATGCTCGTATTATTTTTTTTCTGCTCGGAAACCCAGCGGACATGTTTCCGTGTGACACATCAATCATTTCACAATAACGTAAAGCGTAAACGTTTGAGGGGAGCTGGTGCGACAGCGTTTTAGAAGTAAACAAAGACAGACAATATGTGATGACGCTGCAGTGCGTTTATAAACCCAACTGCGGTGTGGACACAGTGAGCTCCAGTGGCGCAATCGGTTAGCGCGCGGTACTTATATGACAGTACACTGTAGAGCAATGCCGAGGTTGTGAGTTCGAGCCTCACCTGGAGCAGTGTTTTGATATCGTGTAGTATTGTCAGTCGCGAATTTTGGAAACTCCTTCTCATTGTAATTGTAGTGGTGTATAACTGTGACAAAATAAACAGTTAATAACCACATAAGTACAGACATATACAGCTCTAAATATGAAATATACACAGGCACTCCGCAAAATAATCTGCAAGCCAATAGAAATAGAAATGAAAGATATTTAAAACATATTGGCCAAATATATTATTCGTCATTACTGTCAGATTGAAACCCACATTTTTTTTTCACCAAATAAGACATATTATTTATATTTATATTTTGTGACAATATTGAAAACAAAATCCTCATTTAGTACTAACATGGTATTAGAGATATGACAAATATTTACAGTACAAACTCTTAAGATGTATTTCAGCTCTACTAAAGGCAGGGGGCAGTATCTCTCCATCTCTGCAGAGATCCAGTCTCTTAAACTTTGGTGAAAGGACAAGTCACTCATGTCCTTAGAGTATAGGCTGTATGCTGACTTCATATTTACATCAGTGGCGGGCCGTCAGGGCCTGCAAAGCCTTCTCTGCTCGCCCAAACAGAATCACAAAGTTATAGCTATTTTATAATTTAATATTTTTCTTAAATACACTACATGTATTATAATTTATAAAAATATTTTTCCCATTATTGTATTTTCTCATTGCACAGCTACTGTCTTCCTCAGTTGCTCTGCTTCCAGTGCAACTTGTTTTAAGTAGAGCTTTTATCCAATCAGATTTCACCTCTGTGTCTCTGGGTAAGAAGACAGGCCCCAGGCCTGCAGAGTCACACGTGCATCCATGTGCAGTTTAAGTGAATGGGGACGATATTGTTGATTGTCATCGTCTTCAACCAATCAGATCTTTAGTTTGACATGTTGGGCGTATTCTTTGACGTGCCAGAGCCTGCTAGCTGGCCTACAACTACGTCAGCATTACGTGCAGCTCAGTTTTCAGGTGCAGCTCTGCAGTGAGGTGCAGCGTGCGCTGTGATTGGTCAGTGGGCGAGCACCTGACTATCGTGAAACTAAACTTAAAGTAGCCAGCGAAGCTTCGTCGGAGTAGTAAGAGTTCAAATTGAAAGATATGGAAGAAATTATGACATTTTTTGCATTTTGCTTGGTGTAGATTTGTTTTTTTTTACCTATCTTTGTTTTTTTTAACACTCAATGGGCCTCAGCTGTTTTTTGTTGTGGTTTTTTTTGTTCCGGTTCAGAGGTCACACAGCCCGTTGTCTCCTATGTGAGCGCAGAAAACATTATATTTCCTACAATTTAAGCTGTGGCGCCATCATGAGGTTATTAGGAGATGTTTCAGCTGCAGGACAGCAGTGAAGGCCCAGGTGTAAAATGCAGGTATAAAATGCATGCCCGCCACTGATTTACATCATATAATAATCATTTACAAATTGTCTAAAATAAGAATTTAATTTGTGGATATCAAATCCTACATCTCGCATTATGTGTGATGTGAGGTCCACTCACAAATAATCAAAGATGGATGTCAAAACTCACTGCATGCCCAAAAACAGTCTTTGAAGAGAATAATTCTTCAAGTCATGGATATTCTAATCAAGATATTTTGTAAATATGACATGCCTGCTTTTTTTTCTTGCTTCAAACAAGAAGCAAGAAAGTAAAACTGTCCAGTAGACTCAATTTTACCCGGGGACCAATTTATTCAGTCAAGGAAATGCTCAAATTCCTTTCTTATAACATGAGTTAAACCTCATGGGAAGAACACAAAAAGGTAATTCTCATGATAGTGATTAGACCATGAGTCTGTGTGAGAGAAAAGTATGAATAATGTCCAATAAAGTGATGACTTGGCTGGACACTTTGCTTCCAACCCCTAGGGGTCATTGTTGTCCACTGTTTCAACGTGCTGGTCTTATTCTTTTTTTTTTCTGACTGATGATGTGACTGCTGGAATATGACTGGCTGTGTCTGCTGTTTGAATGAAAACAGTTGGTCCGCCTTTGCTCTTCCCACTCTCGCACTCTATGTATTCTGTGAGCTCTCATCTTACATTTTACACAAGCCGCGAGACCTGCACATATGGCCAACGTTTTCTTCAATGTATGTTGATGAAAAAGGGCCTTTTTGGAGTGTGTCATCTGGTTGTTCCTGCATGTATAAAAGTTGAACATGAAGAAGTCATTTTTCATCTTGCCATGCTGGCCATTAAAATACTTTGGAAGCAGTGTAGGAGGAACCTTGTGGGGATATCAATGGCATTATGTATTCATGAATAGGAAGATGGATAGATATGATTTGATGCAAACCTCACACACACACACACACACACACACACACACACACACACACACACACGCGCAAACACGCACACACAAACTGGTTTCAACCCCAAGGTGGATTTTATATATTTTTTAAATACAGGGACCAAGAACATCCGAGAACTACTGTAAATCTGTCATTAATGTAAATTTAAATCTAGTGATTACATCCCTAATGTGGCACAACAGTAAAGTATGGCCATGGTTTGAATCATGGTCAGCTGAGAAACATGCACCCTTTTTAAAAAATTAATTATTAGATTCATATTTTCAAAATGTACAGAATGTGGGAATTAATGAAACACATGGCATATGTGGGTTAGTTAATCAGTTT